TGCCTCTTAGTCGGGACGGAATTCTGTCAGGGCTCTGCTTGGAGGAGTTAAAACTGCTAGCGGTTGGATCGCTAGAGCTTCTTTTCTTCCAAGCAGCGCGTCAATCAGTTTCACCAAAGCTGCTTTGCACTGTCGTCTTGTTTATTTTCACACTGTTTTCTTCATACTGCCCTAAGGGTCAAGCGCAGGTAAACAGCTGAAACGGATAATCTCGGTTTGAGTGGTGAGGTAGTTAGCACGCAGTGTCGTGTTTCCAAAGGCTTTTGCAAAATGACTGCAACTTGATATTTTGTTTTGTGTTAGCAAGCATGTCTTTGAGGTGGGGTGCAGGTGAAACTTACTCAAACCCGGGAGTTTTTATTTTTTAACGTAAGCAATGTAACAATTTCTAAGCGGCTAACAGAGCATTTAAAACAAGAATCAATGATGCTTTTGTCTGGTTATATAAAGTGTCACCACAGATTAGTGAGATTCTTAGGTTTTTTTCTATCCTCTGTCCAAATCCCTGAAGCTAAAATTACAGAGAGAAAAAAATTTATTACTAAAGAGCTTGCTAATGTGTTTAAGTTAGTTTATGATTAGGACTGTTGTTAGGGACACTAAAAATGAAATTATTACTGTTTCGCCCACCTAGTTGAAAATCGGAAGACAAAAATTTTAAAGTATTTTGGGGATATTCTAGCTCAGTGTGTTCTTTTCTCACCCTGTTCACCTCTAGTGAAATATTTGGTAAACAATTTATATTCTTAGTTAAGTATATTTGTAAGATGCACTTCTAAAACTTCAGGTGTTTTGCAAAGTAGTTATAGGAACTGTCATGCTTTATTGGAACAGGGATGGTATTTTTCTGATAACTGCTCATCCCAGGTGCTTTAAAATGGCATGCTTAGTGGGATCATGTTATTTTAGAAAAGTGCAAAGAAAAGTATATTTAAAAAAAAAAAGTGCATGAAAACATCTGAGAAAACATTGCCAATAGGGAGCTTCCCTCATAATCCCTAATAATTAGGTATATGTTCGCACTCTGACATGCTAAGTGATTTATCTTCTGTTGGAAAATGCTCAATTACAGTTGCATAGAGCAGAAATTACTGGTAAAAATTGCTGATTCGTTTTTATGAATGCCAGCAAACTTTTTATAAAGATTTCCAGGCATTTTTGTATGACACTGTCTTTCCCTTTGGTTTTGTGTTGTGCCCCCGTAAAATAGTTGGCATATAAATTTTCAAGTATTGTCATTCGTTTGAAAGTTTTGGACTTAGCAGAGTAAAAATTTATGTGGAATTCCACAAGCTGGTACGGGTTAGTGCTTAAAGAAAGCTTCTATTTTTTTGTTTCTATACTTAAGACAAAAACTGAACATTGGGAAGAGTGGGAAACATTTTCAGTGAATGATTTTTTAGGGTTTTTTTCCCTAACTGGAACATCTGAATACTCATCTTCAAATCAAAATACGGTAACAACTCAACATTTGTAAGACTTGATGTTTGTAGAGGAAACCAAAAACATTCTTATGTAAAACTTCGGGGTTTACATGTGATTTCTCAATTTTGTATTACTTGTATTTGTATTAAAAGTTATCACCCAGGATTTGGAGAATGCACTGATAAGTAACAGGGAAATTCTTATGTCCATTACTAAACAGGATTTTTTAAATTTTTTTTTTTTCAGTGAGTTAGTGGATGGCTGAAAGTTAGCTTGACCATTGAGTTGCTGAAATGTTTTGCTGCTTGAGAGCCGTGAGAAGGTATGGCATGTTGATGACCTAATTGACCTTTAGCATGTGTTTAAGCGTTTGTTTATGACTTGCATATACGTGAAACTGGCTTGGTATTTTTGTTTAGTGCTTATTTCTTTGGCTTTCTCATCTTTACAGCTTGAAGCTTTCAGCAGAGCATCCACAGTTGAAAATCCCCAAAAGCCATATGCTTGTCCTTGAGTGAGATATTAAAAAGGCTCTCAACAAAACAAGGGTTTTAAAATAGCTTAATTATGAGAAAGTGGTAGTCCAAATCTGAATATGATATCCAATATATTACTGTATTATTGAGTTATTAAAGCTCAGTGTTTCAAATTGAGCGAGTATATCTGTAGTAATGAGCTTAATTTAACAAAGCTTTTCAGTGCCAAAGCTATAAGCCAAAAAGTTAGACTTCAGAGAGCTGTGGGGGAAAAAGTAAAAAGAAGGCTGGAGGCAATTATTTAATCAATAAATTAAATCTGTCCTGGAGTACGATTGCATAATGTGTTCTAGTAGAGATTGTGTTTCATATCTTTCATGAAGTGGAGGCGGCTGTCCTTAAAGTGGTTGTGACCTTGATTTTAACATGAAGCCTTTCTCTGCTCTTCAAATCTGAATGAAGTTCTTGGGACAATCCTTGCTCCTTGTGAGCGAAGCCATAAGCATCTTTCTTGCATTTTCTCTCTCTAAATTCATTTTAATTCATTTATTTTGTCACTTCACTTGAAGGATGCCTCAGAGTTCTGTCTTTCACCTTCAGTGAATGAATTCTTCCTTCTGTCACGCAGACTAATTTTGGCCTTTGAGCGTTTCTCTTTTAAGCAAGTTCAAAATAGACTTTTGGCTGGAATCCTGAGCCTTCCTACTAGCATGACAGTGTTGTTTAGATACAAAACAAGGGAACTGAAGTTAACCATACTTGGCCATTTTTCTTGTAGAATACCAGATGGAAGTTTATGATTAATAAACTTGGAAGTATGATTAATAGGTTCCAGGTATGTTGGAACTTTTTTCCTAACTACTGGAAACAGCATGCGATGTAGCTCGAGAGTGGATGTGGGAAATGGTGTGTGAATAAGGTGAAGACAGAACTGAGCTCCTTACTTCCTCTTAGCAGCTGGGTCTAGGAGGATGTGGGTTTCTTGCATGGTTGTTAATCAAAACTGCTATCAGATAGGTAGCTGGTTAATTTACTTCCCCCCCCCCTTGCTGGAAAGATTTTTTTTCCTTTTTACTGCTTTGTCTCCACTTGCTACGAAGAAAAAAAAGAAAATTTCTACTATTCTTTTCCTCAGCAAGACAACTATTTTGATGTTTCCAGATAGAAAATGGTAAAGCATATGACCAAGTGGACTTTTATCCAGTGTGCTTTGCTTCCTTTCTTGCCAGGTCAGGTAGAGGTTTTTTTCCTACATCACTGAGCAACTCTGGCATGTACTTGTCATTGGGAGCTTTTGCTCTCCATAAAAACACGATATTGCTGTGGTACTTCACCATCCCCTGCTATTTTGTGTATGATTATGGGCTAGAGTGATGACTAGTCTTAGAGTCTTTCTCAGATGCAGCCAGCAAGGAGGTAGAAGTGTTTGCCAGTAATACATTTTGTCTTTTTTAATCTTCCATTTAATCCACATCCCTGAAAAATGGCTTCAGTCATAACAGTTTGAAATTCCATCAGTCGTCTTATGTTACAGATTTTCTATTCCACTTTTCTACAAAAATGTCTCCTGTTTTCAGCAAGCTGACTTTTAAGACCTACTAATTAAATATTTGCCTGCCTCTTAGGCAGAAAACATTAGCTTTAACTGCTTTCATGTTTCTAATTGAAGAGCTGGAAAGGTTTACAGAAGAAAGGTGAAGTAAGGGTCATTGCATCTGCTTGACAACTCAACTGTTGCCATTTACCATTTGCCAAAATGAAAAAATGCTGCTTATTGTCTGAGCACAGATTTGGGGTTGGTGTCCAGTACCCCCCAGTTCATGAAAGCAGTCAGGAAATAGTCTCACCTCACATGTTTCTGTGTCCCGGACAATTATTTGGTCTAGGATGCTGGACAAATACCTCTTTGTAGAAGAGTCTTGCTTACTATTATTAATTAAGTTATTAGTTTTATGTGAATTGGAAGCAGCTTTGCCTCCAGTCTGCCATATATTTTCCTATTTGGGGCTTGCAGTTTGGATGAATGATACTGTGAGGAGTGAAACAGCATTGTATTGCTTAACAGAGCAGAATCCCTATCCTTCTGAGTTGCAAACTAAAATGAGCGTTAATCACAGAGAAAATGCTTGGTCCGTTGAATTTGTTAGCCTGTGAAATCAGCTAAAGGAGAAATCTGATATAAATATTTACCAATTCACATTTTCTTCCTGTTTTTATATAGACTGTCTCTTGGTAATCAGTTTGCTAACCTGAACCTTAGCTTTGAGCTATGGCAGGAAATTTTCGTGGTCTTTAATTTAGAACTTGTGTTTCCTTCCACTTCAGTCTTCTGTTACACAACTGTGCTTTTTGCAGAACTGTTGTTTAATTTATGCATAATTGGAGGTGTTCGATCTTTTGCACTTCCTGGACTTCCTAGAACTTCTTCAACTTAACTTCTCCTTCTGATCTTAGGTGAAACAATCTTCTTTTCCTACCACTAATCATAGAATTGTTTAGGTTGGAAAAGACCTTTAAGATCATCCAGTCCAACCATTAACCTAACATTACCAAGTTCACACTAAACCAGTTAAGGGTAGACTAGACTAAACCATGTCCCCAAGTGCCACATCTACCCGTTTTTTGAACACTTCCAGGGATGGTGACTCCACCACCTCTCTGGGCAGCCTGTTCCAATTCTTGACCACCCTTTCCGTAAAGAAATTTTTCCTAATTTCCAACCTAAACCTCCCCTGGCGCAGCTTAAGCCCATTTCCTCTCGTCCTATCGCTGACTACATGGGAGAAGAGACCAACACCCACCTCACTACAACCTCCTTTCAGGTAGTTGTAGAGAGCGATAAGGTCTCCCCTCAGCCTCCTCTTCTCCAGGCTAAACAACCCCAGTTCCCTCAGCCGCTCCTCATAACACTTGTGCTCCAGTTTCTTTTAGTCCTCATTTTCTTCTTTTTCAGTGAAGATCAAAGGGCAAAATAGTACTGTCTTTTTACTTGATGTCTTCTATAAAAGAGTATGTTTGGGAAAGTAGATTTTTTTTTTATTTTTTTTTTTAAATGGGCACAAGTATGTGGACCTCAGAAACTAATGCAGAACTTCTGTTGATTAAATTGTGATTATTACTCCTGGGTAAAACTTAATATTCTTTTGGCACTGCTTGAAAAGTATTGGGTTTGACTTTTTAACTTGGAGGTTCAAAAGTATGTAAGGGTTGGCTCTTAAGAGCAGCTTCAGCAATAGCTACAAAAAATACCACTAAAGCCAGTCTTTATCATTCAAACTACTTGACTGGGGAATTTTTATTTGAGCCTGCTTTGAGAAAGTAGAGGAAAAAGTTACTGTACTTATTTACAAGTCTTTAATCAGCCATTAGCATCCACCATCTCTTGAACCTGTTGGATTTGCTCCATATAAATACACCTTTGTGAATCCCAAGGGGAAAAATCCAGCATTCGGACTTTAATACTAGTTTTAAATGGTTATATTTGCAACTGTGAATGTTTACTCCATTCTGTCACACTCTAATGTAATTTATATCAGTTTGTCACTTGATTGGTTGCATCGTACATAAACATTTTGTTACTTTATTAGGTTATGTCTGGAGAAGATATCGCTACAATGCATTCTTCAGTCAAGAACTTTGTCAGGAGCTGATGCCATCAATGCTCTCAGACCTTTCTATTTTGCTGTGCATCCAGATTTCTTTGGCCAGCATCCCAAAGAGAGGGTAAAAATCTTTTAGTGTGCTTTCTTTGTAAATGTATCCTGTATCAAGGATGGAAATTTTCTGGTTTTCCTGCTGTCAGAGCAACAAAAGTAGTATTGGAGTTGAATGTGGTTATTACCAGAAAACAAAAAGATGCACTTTCTTTATTTTTAACAAGGATAGATCCCTTAAACATCCATTATTTATTAGTCATATTTTCTGTTTAATTGTTACAAAGAAAATACCCTTCCAGTCTAATTTATAATAGATACTACTTTATCGCTTTGAAATGCTGTGCATTATGTTTGAGTCAATGGATTTCTTTAAGCTTGAAAGCCTTAAGAGCAGTGTTTTGGAATGTACAAGAATGTGCGAGTATGTACATCATACAGTTTATTCATGCAAGATAATTTCCATTTATGCTCAGAATTTCAACTTTATCACTACTTGTTAGGAGCAGCTGGCAGTTTGTAAAAACTAATTCTTCATATAAGATTAAAAAGGTTTAGATGAAAAATGGCCAAATTCATCATCTGTAATGTGGGGTTTTTTTTCTTTTTTTAAACAGGAAGTAAATGAAAACTCTCTGAAGAGGTTAAACGGCTACTTGGAGAACCTACAGAAACCAGGATTTCGCTCCTTTAAGCCAACTCAGCTTACTTTTTATGTAAGAGAAAGAGAACCAAACTCTTCTAATGTTCAAGAATCCTTCAGTGCTTCAGGTGCTTTTATATTGTGCAGAATGTATCTTCCTGTATTTAAATTCTTTCAGACCATTACTTAGCTTTGTGCAGTCACACTGACTTTTCAACTGAATAAAATCCTGTCAAACCATGAAAATATGTATTAAATCAGACAGCTAGGACCATCCCAAGTAATTAAACATCTTAAGCTTTAAAAAGCATGGAAAGAATGAGAAATTACAAAGTTGAGGTCAAGTTACAGTATGAGGAAGTAAAATGTCTGTATGATGTAAATGGTAGTTCTGCTTTTAATACTGTTGTTATGTTTAACTGGAACAACAGTTCTTGTTTTCATTGCAGATAATGTATAGTACACAATGTCTGGGTGCTTGTAGGATCAGTAAGAACTTACTCTGTAAGCAGAAGTTGTATAATATCTAAAGCTTCAATTTACCACGTCTTTTAGCCTTGAGACTACAGAAAATATTCCTGAGTTTGGACTATTGGTTTTGATTAATTTGATTCTACGTACTTGTCTCTGATGTACCAATACGTCTTATCTAACAGATGAGTTTTATGTTCTGTATCCTGCTAGTCAAAACACTTGAGCAAACTGTGAGGCGCTCTAGTGCTAGAAAACAAAATCATACTGTTTTTCAAGAAAATAGTAGTGTTATGTCCTATCTACTTAAAATAACAGTGGAACTGGCAGCTGTGTTCTGCACTTGAGTTTAATGCTTGCTTGCTTTCTAATGGGGCTATTAGGCCCAATAGCTAAGTGATGGGACTTAGTTTTAGCCAGTGTGCAAGTGTAACGTTTCGTGCTGAAGCTTCTGTTCATAGCCTGTGAAGAGCTGTTGTAGTACTGCATTTCTACAGTAAATTATATCCAAAGTGATAATCAGTAATAACGTGAATTGTGTAGAGCTGTTGGACAAAACTGCCACTGCTAAAGCAACAGCATCCTTTTTTGGGTTATGCTGCATCTGTAGCTGGGTTTCCAATTTGTTCAGTGATTCAGATAGTTAAAAGAGCCCTATTTATATTTTTGGACACAGAACAGTTTTAAAGGTTAAACTGTACGTGAATTTTGCCGTGAGTATTGAAATAACAATATCATAATAATTTCCAACTATGTATGCCTTGTTTGGGTTCTTGTAAGATGAGAGAGAAATGTGAATGCATTTTAAATCATTTTAATTAAATAATACTGATTTTGTGGGCCTTGTATTTTATAGGGTTTCGAGCAGTCAGTTTTACATTACATACTAGGGATCTCCTGAGCACAGTATTAGATATTCTCAACTCCTGCAGTTTATCTACGGAGCATATTCAAAGTTTGAACGTGAACTCTCAGCCCCACAAGGAAGCAAAAAGCACAGTGAACAGACCTATCAAATGGGATAAGACTTATTATTCATTTACTGGATTCAAGGATCCTGAGGAGGAACTAGAACAAGCACAGAGAGTGGAAACAACTTTAATGTATGTAAGGCTTTTATTTAACTGATATTTTGTAACCTAAATTGGTCTTATTCTAATGCTGAGGTTTTTTTAAGACAATCAATAAACATTCTGAATAATACAAAACTTTATTGTCCAACATGTAATTGTGTCACACTTTTAATAGTTAAAGAGAGTTCAGATGAGCTCCTGGGAGATAACTCTAGTGCCAGCTAAGCTAAGGCATTCTTGTCTTTTTGCCCAGCATTCATGTTTGGTCAATCTAGTTTTGGTTGATCTAGTTTTTCAGTTTTGTGGAATATTGGGGGTGGTTCAGGAGGTGGCAGGGGTTCCACTTGCTCCAAATAGCTCCTTACCCCTTCCAGGACTTCTGTAACACAATATCCATATAGTTTTAACTTTACTGTTAGTATTTCCTGATCACATTCTGTTGGGGCTGGGATGGGAGATAATACATGAAAACTAAGGTTAGAATGTTTTAATTTGTCAGATATCTTAGTGTTGTGCTTCTGATTTGTTGCTCAGCATACCATACCTTAATATTTAAATTGAGGCAATTACAAATACTGAATTTGCATTAAATGCAGCATGTTGTGTATTAGAAGTTGGTTGTTTATAAAATCTGTATGTGCTCATTTTGGGGAAGGTTGAAGAATACTGCCTTGAAAAACCTTTTGTAACGATGAAACTTAGGTGCCATTTGAAATAAATGCAGAACTGTGGTGGTAGTATCTTCAGAGGAGAGAATGCCCCTAATCCTGCCTAGCACCTCGCAAATAAAAATACTATAATATATGCTACTGTAAAACACTTAACGGAGATTTAACGTACTGGAGAGTATTTTTACACATTTACAAGAAAGGCCACAAACAGTTACATATTAACAGTCTGGTTTTAATACCTAGCCATTTGGCATTGAGCCTCTCTTTTTGCTTCCGAGTTTGAATTTTTTTCACTTAGAACGCAGTAATGGAAGTATTTGTAAAAATAAAGAGTATTAAAATAAGCTTATGCTATGAACAAAGGCTAAATCTCTTAAAGAGTAGCTTTTTCCTAGACATAGAATGATACATTTGTTGAAAGTTTTAGATGTACTCCATGAGTCAGGTTTGCCTGGTTGTGATTATTGGCAAAAGAACTGTAAAACTTGACCTGCTTAATGTGTGTTCATCCCAGCTCTGTAAGAGTTACCTAACTTAGCCCTTTAGTACCACCTCCTTTATGTAATAGCCTACTATGATCACTTTGGTGTTTTGTTTTGGTTTTTTTTTTTAAAAGGCAGATGTGGTAACTTCTTTCATTAAAGCACTAAGTTCTGAAGCTGCTCCCCTAAATCACACTAATGTGCTGCTCTACACCTTTCACACCTCTTAAGTCTTACAGTTGTAACACCATCAGTGTCTTTTGGTTCAATTTGATTCCCTAGTCCCACCCCCCAAAGACATTAAGCACCAGGTTTTCCTTTGTAGGTATCTTAAGGTGAAGCATTTAGCAATTTCAGTTTCTGTCCTCTACTTTTAAAAAAATCCCTTTGCCTGGTAACTTAAAATGTTAATGTTAACAGTAAGAATTCAGTTAGTTGTACTGTTTGCATGAAAGATAATGCAGCATGCCTCTACTGTTGGGTTTTTTCCTCCTCTTCTTTCAGATCCTGGCTAGATGATAATGAAGCAAGTGCGGTAAAAAAGCTGAAAAAGAGTTTGCCACTTAGAAAAGAACTAGAACGTTTAAAATTTGAACTCTCTCATCAACTCCAGCTCTCGGATATCAGGTAATAAATTAGATCAGTTGGACTTGTGTTAAGACAGTAAAAGCAAGGAAGTGGTGTATAATACTATGCCATGAGCTTTAATGGCTTATTCCAGCCAAACAGCGATGTTTCATATATGTAAAAGTGTTATTGCACTGAATAATACTTTTCTAGAAAGAAAAATGTTCTAGAAGAATTCCTTTGGGACAGAAGTTTTCCTGTTACAATCTGGTCAAAAACACCTGGTATTTGTAATTTAGTAACGTAGGCTCCAGTTGAGGCAAACACATAAGCACTTGAAATAGGAGCTGTGTGTATGCTTTAGTTTGGGTGTTTTGCTGGATAAAATTGGTCTTCCTGAATTCAAGTGAATATCTACAAAGGTAACTAGCTTGGCAGTGAAATGAAACTTTGCATGTGGTACATGCTGACATCCTGGGAAGGCTTAGTAAAAATGTTGTTCTTTCTAGTTGTCTTGTTTCGCACACTCCAGAGGAGGAGGCTATTTGTTTGCTTGAAAGGGCTGAGTACAGTTGGTGATCTTGATTCTTCATAATATTTTCCAGAAAATAATTTATGATCCTTTTTTAAACTTTGTGCCTTCGAATGAGGATATTCTGAAGTGCAATATTTAGGATGAGAAAATGGCAGTGAGGGTGTTCAACAATGGAAGAATAAACTTTGGGGGATTATTTCAAGGACTAGTCTGTTAAGTTCTTTTAACCAGGAAAGAGGGAGTTGGAGCTTCTGAAATCATGCTTTTGTTCCCTTCACACTGTAAAAGACCCTGGCTTCCTTTAAGCTGAAGCCAGTTTTTTTGAATACAATTTCTAATCCTCTGCAACTGTGATGTGGTGGGGGTTTTTAAGTTTCTGAAACAGTCTTCAGTACTAAATGCGTAGGTTTGGTTTTATTCATGGCTTGTATGTAACTTTCTTATAGTCTCTGCTTTTAAAATACACTAAAACTATTGTGTTCCATGAAGAGTTGTTAACCTTCCAAGAGCTATATTGTCATAATTCAGAAAAGAATGTGAGTGTCAGAAAATTGACAAGCCAGTATTGTAATAGGAAACTACTACTTGTGATCCTGCAGCCTAATGCTAGTGTTCACATAGGTTTGAAAAAACAGGGCCATTGGCTTTATTTCATGTATCAGTTTAGGACAGCTGAAGAGGAGGCAGGATCTATAAGCCACCTTTTTGCATTTCTGTCTGGTGCTACTGAAAGCAAAGTGATATAGCTAGGTAACAGTAAATAGTTATTAGAATGACTTGCATTGTTAAGTGCTGTGGCGTAGTGCTGTTCTCTGCATCCCAAAGAGCAGTTTTTTGCCAGTTAGGTTTCCCTAAATCAGATGGTGTGGGTTGACCCCAGCCAGCAGCTAAGCACCCACACAGCTGCTCGCTCACATACCCCCAGCAGGATGGGAGGAAGAGAATAGGAAGAGCAAAAGCAAGAAAACTCATAGGTCAAGGTAGAAGTTTAATAGGTGAAGTGAAGCAAAGCTGTGCGTTCAAGCAAAGCAAAAGGAGGAATTCTTCTTCAGCAGGCAGGTGTTTAGCCCCTTCTGGAAAGCAGAGCCTCAGCATGTGTAATGCTTGCTTGGGAGGACAGAGGCCACAACTGTGAGGGTCCCCACTTCCTCCTCCTTTCCCTGAGCATGACATCACATGGTCTGGAATATCCCTTTGGTCAGTTGGAATCACCTGTCCTGGCTGTGTCCCCTCCCAGCTTCTTGCCCACCCCAGCCTACTCACTGATGGAAGGGGGCAGAGAGGGAAGAAAAAGCGAAAACCTGGACACTGTGCCAGCACTGCACAGTAGCCAAAACACCAGTGTGTTATCAACACTGTTTTAGTAAAAAATACAAAACACAGGGGTGCTATGAAGAAAATTAACTCCATGCCAGGCAGACCCAGTACGGTAAGGGAATGGTAATTTCCCATTTTGAGACAGTTTTATATCAGCTAGAAGTTTGTAAAAGGATGTAATTTTTCAATACACTGGGACAACTTTACAATTTAAAGGCTTTTTGAAATTTAGTTAGGAGTTTGTCTGATCTGCCTGTAGTGGAAGAGATGTCAAAACTATGTATATTAAAGTCACCAATGTAACACCTGGCTCCTGTATAGTTTAACAAAAATTATTCCACTATAAAATATTTAAATATATATATAT